CAGGTGGAAGCCTCACCATGTTCTGCTGAAAAGTGAAGGTGTAGAATACGTAGATTGACCCTCCACACACTGCCTCTCTGTTTTTTGCAGAAGCTGTGTTCTGACTGAGAGGTTGTGTGTAGAGGCTGAATGCTAGGTGGTCTGGATAAATGCCTCTGCATGTGCTGTCCATGTGAATGCATGTATAGACAAGTCTAGAGGATGGAGATGCTATTCACTCTAAGTCTGTCACAATTATTAAATTAATGAATTATTAAATTTTAGTTGATGATCTTAATACCCATAAAATAATTGGATTTGACCATTTAATTGTCTCTGTTTAATTGTTTGGTCATTGTATGCAACTATTAAAGGTAGAAGCCTAAAGGCTGTTCTCACTCTAACCTCAACATGACAAAACAAAATGCAAAACTTTCAAAACTTTCTCCGCCTCTTTCAGGGGCTTAAACTGTATTAACTATTTCACTCACAGCCTGGATCTCCATAACTCAGTTTGAGCTGATTGTGTTTTTGCACCAAACACAAATCAAACAGGCCAAATTCCTTCAAATGCAAATAAGATCTCATTTGCTCCTCATAGAATGAGCAAATGGTGAAACTGGGCTACTGTCCATTTTGGAAAAGTTTGAGTAGAATGAAGAGATTCATCGTTTTGTTGAGTGCTTCCACACAGGCTATAACTGAGATGTCTGTAGTCTAGTTTGAGGCCTGTTCAAGCTGCTTTTGGAGATTCTGTTTGCTGGAACACAGCTGCTCCGTTATCTTGGGTGTTGCCATGCCAACACCGGAGATGACCATGATTGGTCAGCAAGTTCTTATCACTAATAATATCAAAAATCAAACAATGGCTGAATGACATAATGTCATATATCCGCCATCTCAAAAATTGCATTTGGCATGCGAATTACAATCAATCAACCAATCAACCTTAATTTAAAACTCGCAGTACATTGAGTGAGCCTCTCATAATGTAGCCGAGCCAAAACAGAAAACAGAGATTGGAAAAATTGGATGGTAAAAACATATCAAATGCTAAAAAAACTAATAATAACCGTAATAGCAACAATATAATAACTTAATAATTAAGAGATCAAATAAGGATGAAATAAATAAAAAACATAGTTATTGAAATACATAAAGGAATAGAAGATGTAAAACTATAAGTTGACCGTAGCTAAGAAGTAAAAGCTGATAATAAAATAAATAAAAAGTAATAAAAGTGAAACAATAACTAAAACATAGCAAAATCATATTAAACATTAACTATAAACAAATAAAACAGTTGCAGGCTGTAAATACCATCAGTTATCATGTGTTCAAATTTATTTACTGTCATCTGAATAAATTACATAGATGAATCTTGCTTGGTGTGTAAAAGCCTTACAGTGGTCAGACTGGCTGATTATCTGTCTTGCTTCCTACCTGTTGATAATTAATAGTGCCCAACTGATGCCAAAGTAAGCTTGAGCTGAAATGAATAATCTTTACTTACCGTTTTTTCTAATGGTGTTAAAACACCCGTCAAAAGTTACAACTTTCGTTGCATTCATAAGACCCATGCATTTGTCTCAGCCTAACTAATGATAACACACCCATTTCACACTTTGCAACGTAATTATATGATTACGAAAACCAACAAATGGAAAAATGTGGCCAGCTTAAATAATTGCAGTTGTGTGTAGCAGGAAGACACTAAAATGTTGGGTTTATGGAGTGAGAGAATTAGAGAAAATGTACGGTTTCCTGGATTTTGTGTGTAAGGTGCTATTTGTAGACAGTAGTATGTGTGGCAGAACTGGGGGAGCAGATATTTAATGCCTTTACTGCATTAATCAGTAATTACAGAAGAAAAGAAGAAAAAGACTTTGGGCCTTTAGCCATGTGGACATTTAGCATGTGGTAAAATAAATTACATTTTAATAGGTAAAGTTATTTTCCATCAGATCAATTGAGCTGTGCACTGTAAATTAAATTCCTATTAAAATGACTTTGAAGGGGAACTCCACTAGTTTTTTTCAAATTTTGTGATGAGAAAGTCATTCAGAGCGGTTTGGAATGGTGCACTGTAGAGGAACTTACAGAATATGTAATGTTGATAATGGTAAAATGGTGGTAAATCCAAATAAAATCATTTTCTTTGGGTATTATTTTGCCTTACAACTTCGTGCATGGATCTCTCCACCATGAATGAATTTTAAAAAATACATTTAAGGCCAAAACCTTATCTCAAAAGTATTATGACACAGTGTCTCAGGGATCAGCTAATACTAAACCATTTCATGTAATTAGTTTTTATGATGTAATTTAGAGTCATTAAGCGCCACAGTCACCTGGTTCCTATCACCAACCATTGTGAACAATCCTTAACAATACACTTCAGCAATATAATTATAATACAGTTTGCACAATGATAATTGGAGGGGTGTATCAATGTAGCTTCTGATGTTAGCTACATTAGCCTTATAGCTCCAGAGGCAAACTTCACATACATGTCATGGCTGATCAGCTACGTTTGAAGTGAGGAGAAAACTGTACATTTGATTTTTCACCAAACTGCGGCTACAAGGTCTTCTGTGTTTTATCACTAACCGTGTATCATCAAATGACACAAAGTACAGTATAACAGAAACTGTAAGCTGGCATTAAGGTCAGCTGATGAAGTGGTGAACAGCTACTGTCATAACTAGAGTGTCTGCTTCTCTGCCGCTTTGAAACACCGCTACATTCTTGCTTCCTGTCAGAAGTTAGAATTATTATTTCTACAGTTTCCTCAGTGCCTAAGCTCACATGAAAGCACTGCACTCTGTTTGAAATGTGTTGACAACTGTAAATACAGGAAAGGGTTTAACTTCTTGTCCACACAGGTAATGCCCTGGCTGTAAGATAAGTGTGTTTGGACTGCATTCCCTCGATTACCCAGGGCAAATATACTTTCATATCTGAGGATATTCTAAATATGATCCCCAGTTGGCCTTTGCTGAACATCTCACCTTATTCACAAACAGTATTTGAAATTAAAATTTAAGTTCAGCACAGTTGCTGGCTTTACAGAGACAAACTGTGGGCTTATTATTCTGTGGTTAATAGCAATGTAACCATACAGTGTGACACAATACATCGCAATGAAAAATATGACAATGCATCTCATAGATGGGAGAAATCAGCAGGAGCTGCATTCTGTTAATCAAATGCAGTGGCATTGTTTAAACACCAGCGGTCACAACTTCACATTCAACACCATATGTCACACTCCCAGCAGGCGGATATAGCTTAAACCGGAAATGAGTGTGAGGTGCTGAAAGTGGGTATTTTATTTACTGTAATGGATTTTAAACTAACAAGAAGTGATAACATGAATAGCATGCTTACAGAATGTAATTTAGACAGCCAATCAACAGCCTAGATTGTGGAACAAGCATGCTTATTGGCTCACAGCTGCTAAGACTGACTACTTAGGTAATGTATTTTAGTAATTAAGTCTGTCCCATAATAGTACTGAATTCTGGGTAACGCATTATTTTAAGGTACACATACTGGGAGTTCATTAAGATCTTATGCTTTGTTAAGTAAAGCCCAATTTAGACACTTCTAAATGGTTTATACACTATGCAATATGCAATATGACCTATATTAGTATGTAACTAGAGATCTGTAATATGAAAATCACTAATGATTACATTATTAGTTGTAATAATGTGCAATAATTATTACTGTTAAAACAGTGTTATGCAAATTATTGAGCATGAATTACTAGCTAAATTTGCATCTTATGAGTGTAGAATTGGCAGCATACTGTTAGATGCTGAAAAGTGCTGAACAGTTTCATTAAGTCAGTTTGCAACAGAAATTCAATAAAAATTCAGGATATTTTGACTATTAAAAAGATTGAAGAGTTCATTTTATAGTTAAAACCATAAATTCTAAGCTCAAATATTTTTGGCTACCAAAAAGCCATTAAATTATCATTACGTTAAAATGCAATATGCAAACTGACTTGTGCTTTTTAGCTTCTAATTTGTAACTAAAAGTTACTAAAAAGTTACTAAAAATTATTATTCATTTTTAACTAAAACTTTAGACAGAATGGAACACATTTAAAAGTATTAGTGACTTATTAAATTCACATTAGCTCTAGAGCAGTAAACTCCAGAAGTCAACTGATGCTACCTAGAACATATAGGAATAAAATACTACCAACAAGATGTGACTTTAGTTGAGTACCTCACAATGAATCATTTCCATAACAACATCTTAATAATAATAGTGTCTTGGTAATGCAATTATGTGTTCCTTAAATTAAAGTGTCACTAAAGTATGATATTATAATAGTGATCATTCAAATTGGGGTTAAAGTATCATGAGGATATTGGATTGGAATCTAATTGAATCAAATTGTGAGCTAAGTGTATCATTATAATCCCTAGTTATTATTCAGTGACTACTCTATTACTGTTGCTATGTAGTAACTATGAAACTAATGTTTACATTATGTAGCATGTGATGAATTGACATGTGGGTCTATTTAAGAGTTCAAGCAAATTGGCTGCATTGATTCATCTGAGTTTGCCTAGTTATATAACTTGAATTAATTAATGTTGTTTTTACCTGAGTAATTATGTTTTTCTAGTGTTTTATTGAGATCAGCTGATAAAAGGACAACTCAGAAGATTAAATAAATGAGTTAATATGTCACAGACAGTGTATAGAAAGAATTTAGCACAAGCAAAAAAAGTACTGTGGAATTACTGACTTGCCCTGCAAACTACATGTGTAGTGGTGGGGTTTTATATGGGAGTTGTGGGAGCTAATTTTGGGACCCAACTGACCACAACAGAATGTTCCATAGAGTGAAATAGCAGCATTCAGTCCCCAAAGTACAATAGGCAAACCCTTAGTCATGTGGTGGCCACCAGTGCAGCTTGGATGGGCATTTTCAGACGTTCTTTGACGATGAACTGCTGTGATTGATCCTGTCTTCTCTCCACTCCCCCCTCCCCCAGAGGAAAAGAGTACGGTACTCTGAACTGGATTTCGAGGTAAGATCCCGCCCCCTTTTCTCCCCGGCCCAGTGTTTGTGCTTCTGTGTGCTTTTAGCTAAGGGTTTGACTGATGCCTAGAGGACCCAGTGACATTGCTGCTTTGGTGCTTGTACCCCTTGCATTTGACATTCAGATTAGTAGTCACCCGATTCATGGTGGACTTGTTTAGTGTTTCATCAGCCTTGATTCTTGAACTTCCTCTTGCATTCCTTTGGAGTGCTTGTCAACAGAAAATTCTTTCCATGTGACAAAAAGATACAAATGTTTGGATTGTGGAGGGGCCCCAAGGTTGAGGCTGTAGAAACACTGAGTTGTGAGAGTGAAGTGGGTCAGCGTGTGACGAGTGGGAGAGTATGCACATGTGAAGCCTGGAGAATGACCAAACTCTGGAATCCAGCAAACCTCCAGTCAATATTATGTTTACACTGATCTCAGACTTCCCTGCAAGTTATTTATGCGCTAGACAAATGGCTCTAAACTAATGCTGGGTGATATAGTGATATGAACATTAGAGCCAGGTGCGTTGGATCTGAACTCTCCGGGGTGGTAGATCTCCAGGACCAAGACTGAGCACCTTTGACTTAATGTGGACCAACAGCATGTTTCATTAAACAGAGATTTACCTCAGGCTCCCAAGTGACATAGTTTTTGTAAAATCATGGGTTAGAAGATTCCATGAGTCCAAAAGAGCATAATTGGTCCTGTTTAATTGGATGCAGTGATGCGCAGCAAAACGTTAGAAAAATAATTGTGTGCATAGTTTTGATAGCATTTTAAATATGCCACTGCATTGTGTTTGTTCCAACTTATCAAATCCTCCAAAAATAAGTATTGTAATACATATTGTGTATAATATGCATGTCCATAACACTTTACTTGAACTCTGCTACATAACACTGACATAACAATGCCATAAAGATGTCATGGCAGATGTCATTTACTGTCATGAGTTGTAAACAGAATTTATTCAGTAAAAAAACAGTGTTATGTTACCATCACTGATGTCATAATGGCAGATTCCATTATTATGTAACAGCAAACCTCCAGTCAATATTATGTTTACACTGTTTGATGTCATGACACCTTATATCACAGGCTAATGTTTCCTGTGCCCTCTAGTTTGTCATTATGATGTCAAACATTATGACATAAAGTCATATGTAAAGGCTTGAACACCCCTTGTCAAATTACTTGTTCTGTTGATTTTCTAAGTGAAAACAGCTTAACCTCTTACATGGGCCTGGCAGCAGGCCTCAAGTTTTATTACACACTTCTGTAATCTAAGAATAGCTCAATTCGCATTGAAGTCCTGTGTATTAAGTGTAGTTTCTGAATAATAACTCTTGGCATGTAATAAGTCTGGGATTTTAAGGGGTTAACACATCCTCTACAGGTAACACACTTGAATATGGCATTTGCACAGGACACATTTTTTTATGTTTATTTTTTTTCCAAATATATTAAATTCAGCAAATAAACCATAATTGTGCATTAAAATGTTCAGACGTTTGTCCCCTGTAGACGATAGATGATACAAAATCAACGAAACATTCCACTTGACCAGGGATTCCCAGACTATTGCATACGACTGCAAATTATGACAGCATGTAATATATGCAATGACATGTTTATGGCATGCTTATGTCAATGTTATGTAGCAAAGTTCAAGAAAATGATACCAAAATGTCCTCAAGTAAAGAGCGCTTATAGTACTCCATAAGAAGTTATGTATCAAAATTAAAATCTATTTAAAAGACGTTTAAGCAGCATTTAAAAAAACTGTTATGGCCTAACACATGGGTTTTAACTACCCTCTCGCGGCTCCATGGCAGATTAAGACTTTCATGTAAAAATAAAATAATCCTCCTTTGCCGTAACAGAAAGCTTTGCTGAGCCTTCTAACACAGTTTCAACAGTCAGTGATTCTAAACACTGTAGTTAATTCATAAATGGTCTTAAACACTACTAATTCACCCTTTTAACACTTAAGATTGGTGCACAGACTGCTGGACACACAGTAACGCAGACAACAATCTCACCTAGCTAGTAGCTAATGAAAGGGCAAAGAAAGAGATTTAAAATGTCAATAATTTAGAGACAAATGGACAGACTTATTTGCTTTTTTAAGCACTCAGCCGGTTTTCCAGTGTGTTTAATGTGCAACGAGAAACTCAACCACAATAAAATCACAAAGCTAAAGCCAGCTTCTTGTTCGCATTCTCCCGGTCCACCTTAAATGGTACAGCAGTTACATTCTGGCACCTCAGGCACCATTTAAGGTGGAATGGGAAAATTTGAAAAAGAAGCTGGTGAACGAGGAGCTAATTTCAGCCTTGTAAAAACTTGAACGTTAAGAGACGTTTTAAAATACACTATTCTACTTTTGTGGAAAAGTTTCCTGCCAGAGATGTGAGAAAAGCAGCTATAGCTGAGCTAAAGCTAAAAGTAGATCAAAGTAAGTCTGCGCTTTCATTTATATTATATTTGTCAGCCTATACTAGCACATTAGCACAAACTGAGACATATTTACAGCCAAGACGGTAAAACGTTACTTCAATTAAATGGACATAAAATGTAGTGGCTCCCAAGGTGGATTGATTTTTGTTGAAAGGACAAAATGACCCTTCGTAACATTTGGGTTGCCGACCCCTGTACTAACATAATGCTCTCTTATGTGTTATTCACAGTTGGTAGAGCACAATAGTGTTACAATGCATCACAACATTAGCATTTATGAACAGATATTATAATGTGTTATGGAGCTTTGTAAAATGTTATTCATGTAACTAAGTATGAGCAATTATACAGGCTTATGCTTGGCATTGTAAGGTATTATGTATGGACATGACGCATTACAAATGCATTTCTAATTCATTAAGAATGCAGGATTCATAAGAAGTTTTGCCATTACATTTTTGGCCATGTTGCTCACCCAAATTCTGAATATTCAAAGCCACATTTTCTGTAACACTGACTGGAGATTTGCTTTCCATTATGGAGGCATCCTCTCAAGTGAAGGTATGTTACTAACCAGTTGCTTTTAGAGCTTCATACGTTCTTCCATTCTGGTCAGCGCTGCATGGTATACTGCTGCCTGCAAAGCCCCCCCAAAAAGACAAAATAGCTCAGTAATTTGGCCACATAGCACATGTGCCAATATGGCTGTCATGGCACCCGGTGACAAGTGACTGGTGAGAGGGTGCGGTGCTTGTACAGTGGCAGGCCTAATTGGAGCTGGTATTCTCAGTGTGAGTTGGCCCAGGTCAGAGTGAGTTCTGTGTTCTGACCTTCTTGGGGAAGCAGCTGTATCTGTTAGACCACCCAAGCTCTAAACCCACCTCCAATTAAATCAGGGCGTGGGAGAACTAAGTGCCCCCCTGTAGAGAATGCCGCTGACCAGAGAGACCCTGCTGTGTCCCTGCTTTCATTGCCATTTAAACTGCCAGTGCTGTGGAGGCTCAAAAACCCAGAGGGATCTTTTAATGGGTGGCAAAATCTATGCCAGCTACTCGTCTCCCCCTCTTCTGGCTACCCAGTCTGTCTGTCCGCCACCCCCTCTGTGCCCCCTTCCCTTTTTTTTATTCTGTTTATTTTTGTTTTTTTGTTGTTTTTTTACCTTCCTTCCAGAAAGTGATGCACACTCGCAAAAGACACTCAGAGCTCTACCATGAACTCAACCACTCCACCAAGTTCCACACCATAGATAGGTATAACAGGGACCCTGCCATGTCCACATTCAAGGTAAGACTCTTAACCAGGCCTCGGGGGAATGGGGAGTTGACCCTTCTTTGAAGTTAGTCTTACTGCACTTGTAGCAGCACGTCTGAAAATGTAGTGAAATATTACCTCGAGTCACCACTTACTCATATCGATGACTTCACATCTTAACACAGTGATTTAACCCTTTCCACTATTCATGTGTGTAATATGTACACATAGATCACAATTTGAAATTTCTAAACTATAATATACATTAGTTTTCACTTGAAATACTAAATTATTCCACTGCACTTTGACACTTTAATGCATTTAAGGCATTGAGGCATTAAGGATTGAAATTATGTTTTCATATGCATGACACAGTATTGTGCAAAAGTTTCAGACGTCTGAGAAAATATGTAAATCTATTCATCTGAGCTGTAAACATTTATTCAAAAATACATTGTTACAAAACATCATTATTCTCTGTGTTAGCAAAGAGAAGTCCAGTATTTATAGTTGCAATATAATACCTAGTTTATCTAATCAATGTTTCATCAAATTTTAGCAGAAATATTATTAACAACACAAAAATAATGTGATTAAATATTTTAGTAGATTAACAGCCCTGGAATAAATACAAATAAACATGAATACAGTAAAACGTAACTCCAGCAGTTGCACAGATTTGTTCAATTCCATCAGCAGCACATTTAATTGCATTTGTCCTGTTTTCTCAAATTTTACCCCAAAGCTTCATTAGAATTTCTAGATTTCTGTAACATTACTGAATTATTGAAATGAACCCAAACATGTTTATCCATTTCAGTCTGCTGAAGGAGTCTTCAGTGCCAACATTGCTGATATAACTGGTATAGCTGACAATCAGTGAGAATTTTGCTTGTAAATGATACTTCAGACTTGATGTACTTCAGTGATAAACAAATTCACTGCAAGGCAGTAGCTGGAAATAACATATTTTATCAAGAGAGCCATCAATGGACCTTGCCATTTAAAAGCTGTATTTGAACAAGAGGGCTACAAGGTGAAGTGTTTCATTGCAAAACGCTTTATGGACCACTTTCAAGAATTGTAATTTCTTTCCTGATAAGTGTTGTTGGGTGTGGACTTTACATGTACAATAAATATCAATGTCATATTATTAATAATACCACCTTTATTAGAGAAATAAAGTGAGCTTTCCATTATACGATAGCTGTTGTTCTTTTTCAAAAAATCATTATATTCAAAATTGTTGCAAATGATTATACACTGTTTTGGAATGAAGCTCTTCACGTATTAAAGGCATGGAAAAATAGGGTGTCGTTAATTATATATGCATTGTTGTGACATTAACACATGGCTGCTGAAGACTTTTGCAAAATACTGCAGGTAAAAACGGACTTCATAGAAACTCAGAGATTGAAACTCAGTACACTGAAAACATCTTGATGTAAGACTATCTAAGCTACTTCACAAACTAACTCTCTCAATTTTTGTCTTCTTTTTCTCTAACTTGTTCAACCAAGTAAGTTGTAGAACAGAGAATCAGGCATTTATACAAACAAATGCAGTTTTGCCCTGACCTCTGTCTGTCAGTATCAGTCTAACTGTTGACTGCCTGGCAAAGATCATTAATACATTCCATGCCTGGCCAAGCCACATCACTGCCATAATATCTGAAATATTATATATACCTGATTTTGGAGGGACCTTTCCAGCCTCACTCTCCTTTCCCCTCAGCTAAATTTTATTGATGTTACGTGGAGCGGTGCTAACGTCTGAATCATATTCAATCCCATGCCTATGAACTTTTCTCAAGGACATTCCTTAGCTCTCCGCTGTCCCTGGAAAGAGTTCAGTGCTTCTTCCTGTTACTGTGGCTGCTGAATCTTTTATGGTCTATTAGCAGCAGAGGAAGGAGCCTTGCACACTTCCACACTCAGTATCCAGAGGGTTTTCATCATTAAGATTTAAAAACAAACGCCGTCTCCTCGGCTGAATCACCTACACGCAGCTTAGCCCTTTCTGATGGAGTGTACTCTCCAGAGGCACTTGCCACATGTTCACTCGCATTTAATTTGGGCCATGCTGTCTGCTCCCTGTCTCATGGCCCGTTCCAGGCTATTAACCTTCATTCCGCCGTTAAATGTTTGGAGGATGCCTGGACTGCACACCTCAGGATAGTCATCAAAGAATTGTACGTTCCTGCTATTCAAGCGCTTAGAGCGATTTGGATCACACACATGAATCATAATGGTATTAACTTTGCTTTTTGATTCCTAATGGGGGGAGATGAAGTCAACGCTGCTTTCAGAGAGTCATCTAGCAGATTCTGTAATCTCTCCCAGAGTTAACTCTGACAATGCAATAATTACAGTGATAATGGTGTCTGAGAGAGTGTGAAGAATGGAGATTATGCACTGGTAATAACTGTAATAACACAGCGCCTAAGCCTTGTGACAGCCAGTGATTTTGATCTCATCCTCAAGTCACCAGGTTAAGCGTAGAAAAGAGCTAAAGAGTTCTAATCTTTCTTTCTGAATGCATGTATTACCTCAGTGTAATTCTCTGATAAAGAAGTATTCTTCCGAAGTGTGATATCACTGTAATTCCTAAAAACTATAACCAACAGTAAGACATTTATTGATTATACAAGCACAGTACCAGATAAAAGTTTGGACATGCCTGCTCATTAAGGGTCATTCTTTTCTATTTTAAGACTAGGACTACTTTATACTTATTTTTCTTTATTATCTACATTTTACAGTAGTAGTTAAGACAAAAACTATGAGATAACCCATTTGGAAATACACAGTGACCTAGGCTCCAGATAGCCCCCCCTTTGTCGTAGAGTTTTCTTAAACTAGCTTAATGAGGAGCCACCTAAGTTGCTTTTCCAACTATAGAAGATACACGTTAGAGCTTGAAATATTTGTGTAAACAGGACTCGACTACTCATATCAGGTTCAGTCAGATTTGGATGTCATTTCTTAAACGTGTCAGGCTTGGGTTGGGCTCAAATTTCATGTTTGGGTTCTCACAGCATGTCTCCCACTTTTAACGGATTTTACCTGTATTTGCACTTGTGAAAAAACAGAACATAAACCGTGAATCGGTTCAGAAAAGTACTTTTTACCCCAAATTTTGTTGGTTATATATTTCTGTGGAATACGGAGCCCTGCTGGTGACATCCCATATAAATAAAAATTGCATGTGGCCACGCTTTATTAACATGTGGAAACTAGATCCTAATGCAAGGCAACGACTAAGTATGTCATGGAATAAGATAATTAAGTCGTGGCCACAACTTAGTAAGGCGTGGGATGCAGGATAGACAGTTTAATCAGACTAAACAACATTTGAGATGCTGTTCAAACAGAATTACTTAACAAATAGTTTTGTTAAAGCAGAATTAAAAATGTGGACAGTTGATTATTTTGTTGTAGCATATAATTTTATATTGTTTTAGATTTTATTTACTTGTGCTGTATTGATATTCTGTCAGGTTTTATTCTGCACTTTGGGTGAGGATGGGTTGGTTCAGGTCAGTGTTGTACAGATTTTGTTGTTCTCTGGTCACTTTTCAACTCAAAACATGAAAATGTGGTTTGGGACCTTGTTGTTGCTGAAAACTACCTGTTGAAAGGGCACTTTGAATGTGCTGTTGAATTTAAGAGGGCAATTATTTATAATTATTTTAGAAACAAATTTTAAGCATTTTAAGCACAAGCTTCATGATATCCAGCTGAAGATTATGGATATAAAAAACACATTCAGTCGGGTGTGCCTGAACTTTTGCGTGGTACTGTGTATAGCATGTTTCTGAATGAGGCAGTGAATATTCAAGAGTTTTATGTATTTCTTGATCATGATTCTTCTGCAAATTGTTAAGCTGTAAAAGGTAAACTTTGATTCTTCCTTCTACTTTGATAAGACTCTAAATAGCTCTAAAACTGACCTGAACTCACAACATTCTGAACATTCCCTGAAATGCAGCATCACTCTTTGACCCCTCTAATGGTCCAGCCCACTTCACAGGTCCCTCCTCCACCTCCACCACGACAAACCGAGCCTCTTTTAACGCGAAGAATGAGCTTCGTTTACAAAGAGAGCCAACGTAAGCATGTCCTACAGCCCCCTGACTCTGCTGGTGTTAGCCCATTTGTGAGAGGGGCCTGTGAGATAGAGGCCCCCGCTGGTGCTGGTGTGTAATCCCTTAACCCTTATGAGTCTAAAGTTATTACAGTTGTTTTGCTGTAGAATTTACATGTAATTACAAATTAATTGCCTAATTAGTTATGTATTGAATTACAAACTTATGTAATGAATTTATTGACTTACTGTAAATATGATTTGTGTTTTAACTTAGACATGTAAGTAACTGGCTGTCTAAAAATTTAATTTAACTTCAAATAAGAAGATTTTAAAGTATTTAAATCAACCAATTTTATATAGTTCAGTCAATTTCTGAAGTTTTTTCAGTTTTTTCTTTTTTCACAGTCGAAAAAATGATAAAAAACATGGGGAAAATGTCAAGGATGGCTTGTCTTTCCAGAAAATAAGACTAGGAACTATGAACTTAACACCCTAGAACTTGATAATTCTCCTCTTATACTTGCAAACACTGAATTGAAAGTTTAGAATCAGCACTGCAGACAGATGTTTTTAGCCTTAATTATCTTTCAATTCGTTGTTTATTACAGTTAATATTGAATTACATCATGCTTTTGATATCACTTGTGATAACTCTGACTTCTAAGGGTTAATCCTCCATGTAGAGTGGCTTAGTGAATGCAACATGTTGGGTGGGCAGTGCTGCCCATGCTATGACAGCATGGAATACTCTCTGTGCTGTGTTTGCTATGTGTTCAACTTTAAAACCTTTTTAACATTACGTCTGTAGGTCAATATAACATTTAAACTTGGTAAACTTAGTTTAAATGGTGATGCAGTGAAATGGTAATGGCTTATTGCATTTATAAAACAGAAAAATACAATAAAATGTAATAAAAAAACACCAATGTTCAATAAATAGGTTA